GTCCGCCGGGTCCCCCGCCGCGCCGCCGCCGCACAGCGAGGCCAGGTTGTTCTCGCTGGGGGCGTTGGATTTGTTCTGGAAGCAGAAACAACACGTGCGGTTCACCCTCTGACTCTGGTTCGAACCCCAAGCCCGACGACGGCCTCCTCCCCCTCAGCCCTGACCCCGCCCCCTGCCCTCCCTCCACACGGGGTCAGCCTGACCCCGCCCTGCCCTCCCTCCACACGGGGTCAGCCTGACCCCGCCCTACCCTCCCTCCACACGGGGTCAGCCTGACCCCGCCCCCTGCCCTCCCTCCACACGGGGTCAGCCTGACCCCCCCCCCCACCAGGTTTGCTGGGCAGGAGCGGCTTCTGATTTGCATTTCAGTGTCACCTCTCCCACTCAAGCTAGGGCAGGAAAGTCATGGAAAGTTCCAGAGTGTCTTGCCACCAGCATGGTTGCCACTGCCACTATTCTCTTCTAGGTCTGGGCCCCACTAAGCTGTGAGCTCGAGGCCTCTGCTTGCGGCCCCGCCCAGCGCCTCCCGGCCCCGCCCAGCGCCTTCCGGCCCCGCCCAGCGCCTCCCGGCCCCGCCCAGCGCCTCCCGGCCCCGCCCAGCGCCTCCCGGCCCCGCCCCGCCTCTAAACGCCCTCCAGCCCGGAAGTAAGGGGAGCATGGCCCGCGTCTTCCTGAGGACGCTGTGGTTTCATCCTTTCCCGGGAGCGCAGCCTCACTGCGGGCGGGGACGCGCTGGGGTCCGGCCCTCCAGCCGCTCACCGCGGGCTTGTAGTCGATGTCGTCCATGGATCGGAAGAAGTCCAGGCTGCGGGCGGCCGCCAGCTTGCCCTGGTCGGCGCTGTGCGTGCTCAGCGAGTCCAGGATCTCCCCGAGCAGGTCCATCTCGCCCGCCGCGCGCGGCCGCCGCTCCCCGGCCTCCCCCGACTCGTCGCTCTCGTAGAAGTAGGCCGGGGCCTCCTCGCCGTCGTCGGAGGACAGCCTGCGGGAGGCGGCCGCCGGGCTGAGCCCACCCTGCCTCCTTTCGGCCAGGGTGACCTCGAACCCTCGGCCACGCACGCGGTCCCACCCCGGGCTGCCCGCCGCCCCGCCCGCACCTACTTGCTGGCTCGCTCCATGATGTCCTCGTCCAGCACGGCGCCGTCGGGCCTCCGCGCGCGCACCTGCGGGGTGGACGGCAGCTCTCAGTCCACGGGGCGGCGGGAGAGAGACCCGCAGGGGACGCCCCGCGCACCGGCTCCCCCCATTTCCCTCAGCCCTCCCCCGCCTTCTCCCCACGCCAGTGCTCCTCCATCCGTGCTCACTGCTCCCCTAACCAGCGGTCAGGCGCGCTCAGGGCTGCATCGGGGTCACACTCCACACAGCCTCAAACCCCAGACAACTCCCCCCCCCACAGGCACCTCACCACCAGGACGTCGTGCTTGTCCCCCATCCCCAGGGCTGGGACCCCAGAGCCAGGGCGCGCTCCCCCTTAGCTTTGTCGCTCAAGGATGGTGCTCTGCCACTGGAGCACACACCTTCAGTTCCAGCTTGTTGCTGGTTAACAGCAGACCAGAGTCTCACAGGCTTCAGGGCCTGGGCTGGCACTGAACTGCGATCCTCAGATCTCAGCCTCCTGGGTGGCTAGGATGACAGGCGTGAGCCACCAGCGCCCGGCTGCCTTAAGCATTTTTAACAAGGACTTCAAAAAAAAACCCAAAATATCATGATTATACCTATCAAATTAATAAGTATTCTTTAATATCTGTTACTCCCTTTTACCACACAAATATTATTTTGGGGTTTTTTTGGCCCCAAATCCCAACACTAAGGTTAATGCTGTCTTTGGTTGACAAGTCTCCCCGGCCTCTTTTGGAGACCACAGCACCCCTCAACGCCTGACCTCAGCTTTTCCTGAAAGCTGGCTGCTACATCTGGAGGCCTGACTTCCATTTCTCTGCTTGGTCTTTGTCTGGTCTCTTCTCTTTTTTTTTTTCCCACGGCTGAGGACTGAACCCAGGGCCTTGTGCTCACCGGGCAGGCACCCTTCCGCTGTGCTAAACCCCCAGCCCCATCTGGTCTCTTCTTAAACAGGCTGTAGGTAGTGAGATGTTTGTCAGCTGGTCAGCTGACACCTTGCTATCCAAGTGCGGATGCTAAGATTGATGGCTTTGGATGTGGTTGGCTGGTCTGCCAGCTATAAATTTCCTTGCCAAATTTTCACTAGATGTTCCTAGTATCTTAGGATGAGTCCTGGTTAAGTGATTATCACCTTAGGACTTGAAGAGTTGTGCTTTTCTGGAACATTACTTCTATACTTCGCTAACCTTCTATAATGTCAAACTTCTGTAATCCTAGCTACTTAGGAGGCTGAGATCTAAGGATCACAGTTCAAAGCCAGCCTTCTGGCAAAACTTCCAAACCCAAATTCAGTCCTTTGTCTCTAAAGTCAGGTCATTATTACTGCATCAGATGTGCTTAACGACCTGTTGTGAGGCAGCAGGCCATGCATTTAACTCTTTGGAGAATCGGGAAGTACACCACACCAATAGACCAGCACGGCCATCTTCAGGGTGCATGAAGCATGGGGAAACACATTCATCAGTCCTTCAGCCTGCTGTGGGCTGGGTGCGGGGGCACCAGGAAGAGCAAGAGCAGGGCGTCCTGCACACATGGGTATTGCCCACTAGTAAGCCAGACAGGAGTAAACAAAGCACACAAGCAGGCCTAAAAGTTGTGACCACAATTAACGTGTGCTATGGTAGGAGTGGAAAACGTCTGAGTTGAGCTCTGAAGGGGCAAGAAGACTGTGGCGCAGGTCCGGGGAGAGGAGACGATACTGTGCACAGCTCCAGGGATGGAGACACGGGTGAGTGGTGCGTGCCCACCTTGGACAACTTAGGTGACTGCTCAAGGTTCCCTGAGGAGTCTCGAATGTCCCGCAGTTCCCTGGCGGGTCACTAGGTGGCAGCACACACTAAGCGGGCTCAAGGGGATCCATCCATGTTCAGGGGCTTCTAAGGATTGTGCAGATAGAGATCCCAAGAGAAGCATGGGCGCTGAGAACTTCATAGAGCGAGGTGGGCCTGGTTGGGTCCTGGAGAGCACCACCTAATCAAGTGCTTCTGAAGAACCTGCTCCTGTGCCCGCCCCGTGGAGGTAAAGCAGTGGCCACCTCTGTTCAGCAGTTCCTAACCCCTCTCTACTCCACAAGCTCTCGCTAAGCACTGCTGCGTGCACATGATGGTCTCTCCTGCACTAATGCCTACTGCGTGCACACGATGGTCTCATATACTAGTCTACTGCGTGCACACGATGGTCTTCCATGCACTAATGGCTACTGCGTGCACACGATGGTCTCATATACTAGTCTACTGCGTGCACACGATGGTCTCATATACTAGTCTACTGCGTGCACACGATGGTCTCTCCTGCACTAATGCCTACTGCGTGCACACGATGGTCTCATAGACTAGTCTACTGCGTGCACACGATGGTCTTCCATGCACTAATGGCTACTGCGTGCACATGATGCTCTCTCCTGCACTAATGTCTACTGCGTGCACACGATGGTCTCTCCTGCACTAATGCCTACTGTGTGCACACGATGGTCTCTCCTGCACTAATGTC